GTAATATTCGTTTCCTCAGTTTCTTTTGGCGTAGTTTGTGGCACCAAGCTAATACACGTGTGGTTTTCACCAGTGCTTATCATCCCGCGGACGGACGGTGAAACTGAGGCCGTCAATCAGTACCATTGGAATTTGTTTCGCTTGGTTGGCGAGAACTTACGAATTTGGTATCAACAAATCAGTGCGATTCCTACACGATGCCGCCCAAACAGAACGATAATGTGGCTGACGAGCGCGATGAGGCGATAGTGGCATTGGGACGTCAAGTCGTGAATCAGACCGCAGGGCTCGAGGACATGGGGTTGGCACTACAAGCCGCCGCATACGACGGTCGTACGAACCACGCACCGAATGGAGTACGTGGCGGCCGCAGAGGAGGGGGGCTCTCGATGGACGGGGTCGGGGTTCTCGCGAGGCATCTAGCTCTCGATCGTCGTTCTTCGGTGATGATGATCTTGAGGACACCGTCTCTGAGGTAAATTCATTATATGATGGCGGCGCGGTATAAAGGACGGTTTGCCAATGATCGGCGTTCGATGTCATTATTCTGGGTCGAGATCCCCGAATTTTTGGGGAGCCTAGAAGCTGCCTAGTTCTTAGAGGAGCAGTGGTCGACCGGATATGAGGTTCCACCTCTTTTTGATGATGTGTTGACCGAATATGAGAGTCCACCTGTTTTTTATGATAACGGGTCGACTGAATATGAGAGTCCGCTTGTTTTTTATGATGAGGGGTCGACCGAATATGAGGGTCCACCTCTTTTTTATGACGAGGGGTCGATCGAATATAAGGGTCTGCCTCTTTCTGATGACGACGTTATCGACACTATGAAGTACGCTGATCAGATGGAGATCTTTTTGCCCATCGGGACAATAGAGGACGACTTGGTGAGGATGTCAAGGGCGATATACGCACAACTGACGCAACAAAAGTTTTAGGATTCAGATTGCTTCTCCATGCCAGATAGGAGCAATGTAAGAAAATCTATGGAGCCAAAACTCGGGATAAAGATTCCTTATGGTTTTGCGTTGATGTATCCATGGAGTGGTATTCGACACCAGATTAATTTAGTGATGTAGGGAAGCGTACTAGTGACAATATTAATGAGATCGCAATCTCAAAAACACCTTACGATATAAATTCATATTTTCATTCATAAACAACCACTGAATAACAAAGAAGAGGGGTCTTTAAATAAGACACCCAAAACCTTAAAAATTATCTTGTCCACCAAGTCACTAAATATTTAAATACTAAAAAGTAATAATAATAAAATATCCGCATCATTCTCCCTCGGCTCGGAAGGCTTCGCCCTCGAAGCCGTACCAAACGTGTCGATACCAGAGTCGTACCCATGGCAATCATCACTAGGCCTTTTCCCCTATCGAACATAATGGTTGAATGTCGCACCTCCATCGTATCACCCCCTATTGTAAAGACCATCCACTTTGCCGATAAGACGCTCCTCCACCTCCTCAGGTCCTTAATCAAACACCGGCAGACCAACGTACAATGGCTCGTCAACTTGCTCTCTGTCGAATTCAGGAATGTCAATGCGAAACGGGCCCTCCCATCGACCATATCCACGATCAAATTCCCAATCGTGTCAGACACGATATCCTACGGCGAAGACAGCCTCCTCGCGCCTGCCTTTGTCGTCGCGTTGATCGTCGCTGTCCACAAAGATTGGGCCCTGTTGCCGCATGTCACGGCCGCCATGTGCAGTGAATGGGTGAGTCTTGACATGCAGGGGTGGATAATTGCCGAAGGGATTCACCTCCAAGATTGCCTTCTCGTCTTCTTCGTCGTCGGACGGTTGTTGTGGAGATCTACGATGGGGCACCCCGCCTAGACCATAGCCTCTACGTCCTCCGTGAATTCCCCGCGCACGCCCTGGTTGCCGGCGTTACAGTACGTTTGTTTATCCCGAACCAGGGAACGGATAGTTAAGCGTATGCCCCCGATCTCCGCGGGCAGATCTACAATCTGACGACCCATCGTCTCGAGCTGGCAGCCAAAGCACTTGGTTCGATAGCTCAGGTTGTAGATGGCGGCGACACACCTGTCGTTTGCAGCATCTTGTCTTTGCGACAACATCGTGAATCGTGTTGACTTCTGATATCAACTGATGTAGGGAAGCGTATGAGTGGGACGATATTAATGAGATCGCAATCTCAAGAACACCTTACGATATAAATTTATATTTTCATTTATAAACAACCAATAAATAACAAAGAAGAGGGGTCTTTAAATAAGACACCCAAAACCTTTAAAGTTTATGGTAAGTAGGTTTCTGATGTAGCATAGCAGAGAAAAGATTTCTCTCGTAAATATGTAAATTTTATTCAATCTTCAACTTCCTAGAACAAAAGAGGAGGAATATTTAAGTAAAACTCCTCAAATCCCTAGGTTACTAGCGTGTCCAACAAGACAAGGAATCTAATAAAATAATAAAATAATAAGTTTCTTAACAAATCTAGAATACCAGTAATAATAATTAAAACAAAGGATATAAATAATTAACTAAATCAAAGATGCTAGACGATATCTCGTCTCTATCATTCTCCCCCTCTCGAAAAGGATTCACCTTCAACGAGACAACATCTTTGTTTGGCTATCGCGATACGCCGAGACCAAGAATATTCCTGGCCTCTAATGGGCTTTACTCTTGTCTGTCACAGAAGTCTGCTAGATTTCATAGCCCAGCTGCGCTGACTATGAGGCTCTTTGGAACTTTCCAAAGCCTACCTGTGGCTGTGAGTGAGCTTGATTTACTTTTACTATTATATGCATATATGTTCACCTTTCTTAGCCCAACTTTGTCCATCAGAATCAAACTATGTGCAGTTGTTTTGCCCTGACTTTCTTATCAAACCAATTGTTCTAGAAACATTTTTTTTTTTCGCCAAGCAGAGGCATTGTGGGTGTCTTCATCCTGAGTGCGCCTTATACCCATATTTGTCCAATCACTTTTGGAATTAGACGTTACGCCCTAAGAGTCTTGTTCAGGTAGTTTCGCCCATAACCGCCAATGATATGAAACCAAAGCTCCACAATGCAGAGGGTGCAGACTATCAAGCCTAGTAGAATATGCATATGAAATTACGTGAGAGCCACCACACTCTGAATGGTCACCAACGTCCTAGATGCGGCCTTTGACGGCCACTTCGACGACCCCTTCGGCTTCGTCGTCCCCGTAGTCATAAAAAAGAGGTAGACCCAAATATTAGGATGTCCTCTCGTTATCAAAACAAGGCGGGTCGTCCCTTGCGCGTCCACAAAGACCCCTGGAAATTTCGGTATTTTGACTCGGAACGATGACTCCTAACGTCAATCATCAGCGAATCGGTCCTCGTCCCGCGTCTTCATCGCGCCGAAAAGACATACTTAGGAGATAGTGTTATCATCCCCACCATCTTCGACCCATGAAGGAGTCGATCGGAGGCGCCCGCCCCAGCTGCGACCCCTGCGCATCCCACCACGTCCCCTATTATGGGCACAGTTCGACCGATCTATCTGAACAATTGTATGAAGAGCCAGACGTACGTCTTCGATCCCTATAGAAAGGTTCACAATCTCACGACCCATCAGCTCGAATTGTCTACCAAACCCCTCAGCCCGGCGACTCAGAGCGTCAATGGCGGTGTCGCGCCTGTCCTCTGCAACGTCATTTATTCGCGGCAGCATCGTAGATCGTTGTTGGTCTCTGGATACCAACTGATGAACGGGAAAAAAGAAAAGAGATTTCTCTTGTAAATACGTAAATTTTATTCAATCTTCAACTGCCTAGAACAAAAGAGAAGGAATCTTTAATTAAGACTCCTCAAATCCCTAGGTTACTAGCCTGTCCAACAAGACAACGATTCTAATAAAGTAATAAAATAAATAAGTTTCTTAACAAATCTAGAATACCATTAATAATAATTAAAAAAAATATATAAATAATTAACTAAATCAATGATATTAGACGATATCTGGACTCCATCACTTTCTTAGGAGTCCGATTTAAGACTCATATTCTTTTGTTCGGAGGTAGTTGATTTTGATTGAGTAAATATATATTGAGAGTTTTCTCTTGATTCTCCCAATCGTTTACTCTTTCGCTACACCAAGTTCGCTTCCAGTGACTTTCGTAATAAAACGATGAATATAAACGAGCAAGGTAAAGCATTTATTAGCCTAGAGGTTTGCCCCATATAACTTTTGTAACATGAGTTCCAACACAGACCAACAATATTTCAGCCAACCGGCCTATACGCGCTGCTTCACGAACCCGCATACTCTATTCAAACCATGATTGAATACTCTATTTGTATCCCATTTTTAGGTTATCTATCTTGACTAAGTTGTGATCAAAGAACCACATAAAATTCAAAAACTTCAAATAGGCATAAACTATTACACATTCAACACAAATTAAAAAAATAATTAAAATTCTCTAGCCCTAAGTCAATTAATTGATTCATGATCGAATTAAAATTCATGTTAATATAATAAAAGAAGTTCTCATTCAATCAACAATAAGAAAATCGAAAATTAAAATCATCCTAATGTTGGCAACAATTCGGTGTTAGTGTGAAATGCTCCACGAATCTAGCCACTAACAAAACAAATTGGATAAATTACTAAGAAAAAAATTATTTACCAGTGGTTTTGGTGCTCAGAATCCCCGACTATGTTTTAGTTTTTTCTTTCTTCAGAATTTTTGGACATTGTTTTAATTTTCTTTCGTTCCTGTCTAAACTCCTTTACCTATATAATATAAATGGTTCATCATAATTGTTCTTTGCATCATGCAGTGTATTGGCTAGTATTATGCTTTATAGTAATGAGTATAAAAGTCAAACGGGAATTGAGGGTAAACTCCTCTCCTATTCAAAATACATTTCCTAAATTGTATAGAAGTCAACTTTCCAACTTTGTATTTTCATTTGCTCTCACCTCATTATAAACAACTCTTACCTGCCCTTGGGTCATTATTACCAGGTAAATTCATGGGACTTGTCCATTTTGTGCCCCAAAAACGTGAATTCATATGATCAAGCATTCAGATAGAATCAAAACTACAACCTATATTTCTATGGGTACACATTCTTGTTCAAACTTCGCCTCAAAGCATCAATTTTTCTTTTTTCTTTTAAACACCCACAATTTAAACAAGAACAAGATTTTTCATCAGGATAACAAGTCTATATCGGTCATATCTTTATGGGATATAGGATCCCTATGACCCATCTCGACAACCGATGATGGCTCACCTGCATTACTAAATCCATGTGGAGAGTTTTCAGGTGAATCTCTCGGGCTTCCTCCTAACTTCCTTGCGTGCGGTTTGGGGCTATCAGTCTTTTTCTTCACCTTGTTGTGCCAGTTCATCAATGCCTTTGAAGTTTGCTCGTCAAAAATGGACTTTTTCATGTGTGATCCCATCTAAATAATTTTTTTTTCCATGCCAAAGCAATAAGAACAAAGATTTTTAAAATTGGCTATTAGGGCTATGTTTGGTAAAATTAGCTGATAATCTAGTTGATAGCTAATAAGCTAGCTTATAGCAATTTTCGAGCTAGCCTATGATTTATAGCTTAAAAGTCATCTTAGATTATAAAAGTATTTAGTAAAATTAGCTGTTAAGCTAGCTGGAATAAATATTTCAAAGAGCTTATTTGGAAAGCTACCCAAAGAAGATTATGAGATAAAATCGAGCTTTTTAAAAAAGCTTGTCCTACCAAACAAATCTTATTTGAATACAGGAAGCTTATAAGCTAACCAAATAAATTATAAACTAGTTTTTTTGTCTACTAAATATAGTCTAGGGATGTTTGTGTGGAATAAAAAGTTACCTGTGTTACGAGTGCATAAAGTGGGAGTGTAATATAGCTGCACAAGATTTGGACTCCTATCCTGCGATCAAATCAAAAATTAACTCAAATCTATCAACTACATGTCGTGGTCCAATAAATCTAGCAATCCATCAATATATAATAAGGTAATTACAAGTTTTTGGCAAATAGATTTTTTTTTTTTTTTTTTTTTNTTTTTCTCAGATTTAAAGGAATAGCTTTTGCTTCTAGATAATTGAACACTGTTGCCAATGATTCGAATTGTGCATCTAATTTGAGTGTTGACACATAATTGAAGTACATTTACAAGCTTATTCACAAAACTAGTATGTGGCCCGTGCGATGCACGGGTAATAATATTAAATAATAATTATAAATTGACGATATAGGCATATAATATGTATTCGTTTAGAATTTTGAGTGCCATTTTGAGATTTTTTAAGATTTGAGACTTTTAAGATGATCAAATTTTAGAGGAATACTATGAAATCTTAAGTGTGAATGTGAGATTTAGAGTGAAATTTTATATAATGTTTTTTTCTTTTAAATCATAACTAATCTTAAAAAGACCTAACAAATCTTGATCTTAAATAAGTTAAATATTTAAGGATATTTTTAAGATTTTTTTAATTTTTATATATCAAAGATGAACTGCTTTTGTTACAAAAAAATGTGGACACAATTGTGAATGTACATCCCGTCCAAATATTAGTTTTATTCTAAAATAAAAACTGCACGTGGTTTTATCCAATTTACACACCTTTTTTTAAAGAAAAAATTATTCAATAAGATTGGAAGAATTGGATAAAATTATACAACTATTTGTTTCCAAAATTCGTATCCAATTTGTACGGTTTTTAAGTTAATTTGTATTTAGAATTGTTTTCATAAATAATTGACACATTTTTTTGCATAAGAATCTCCAAATTTATTACCAAAAAATATATGATTTAAATTTTGGCAAAAAAAATAAAATATGATACGAAAAAATAAAATTCAAATTTTGCCATAAGAATCTCCAAATTAGTTACCAAAAAATAGGATTCAGATTTTGTTACTAAAGATTCACATGTATTTTTTTGAACTTTCCATTAATAGTAAGTCAAAAATTATATTTATTTGGTCAAACATTCTATTAATGTATTTTTCCAACAACCTCTTTATATATACTAATGCGTGGCCCGTGCGATGCACGGGAAAACAATATTACGATTGTATTATAAATTAAATATATAAACAACATTAATCATGATTTATCCATTGTTTTAAAATTAAACCGGGTTGGACACAGTTCGACCCGATGGACCGAGAACCGGTTTATAACCAGTCTAGTTCGCTCGAATAAAATATTTGCTCTCGAATCTGTCAATACCAGTCGGTTGGACTGGTAGGATCGATACGATTTTCTAAATAAAATAGAGATTTATAAATTATTTATCAATTAGTTTAAACATTTTAATTTATAAATTGTTTAGATATCTAAGTAACATATTTTATTTAAATTTGTTACAAAAAGTACTATATATATATATATTAAAATGTTTATAAATTTAAATCTGAACAAACCACAACTGATTTAATAAAATAGCTTGATCGTTTTGATGATGGTCCAGTTCTAAAAACCTTATATTTACTGTACATTAATAAATATTATAATAAAATATTATTTAATTCACATAAATATTAATAAAATGATATATAAGTATTTATAAATCATTAAACGTGTTGTCATAAAAGTATTCTTAATACGATTATTTGAAGTTTGGACTACATCACATTCACGTAATAAAATATTTTCAATATAAAATTTATATTTAGGTTCAATAATCGATTTTGTGTGGTCGAACTGATACATAACTTAGTCACCTGGGACCAACCATGTTGTGTCAAATTCTTTGACTATCTTAAATATCACCTAAATGTAATTCAATCAACCTGGGCAGTACCCTAATTCAATCACCCGATTGATCCGAAGAAATTTTTTTATTTTATTTAAATATAGTTAATTTTATGAAATAAAAATATTTTATGATTCATATAATAAATGTCTACACCAAATGATATTATATTAAGATTATAAATTATATATCTAAAGATGAATTAATTATTTTTACTTTATGCATATGAATAAAAAATAGACATAATAACTTTAAAAAAATTAAGATTAATTGATTGATTATGCAATTTAAGAATATTTTAGCGTTCAATATATTTTTTTAAAGGCACAAATATAAAGACCGAGATTCTAAAAGTTTTGTTATATTTTGAATTGAGATTTTATAAATATAGAGACCGAGATTTTAATGTTGTTCGTTATTTCTAGGAAAAAAATAAAAATAAAAATACACACACTTAATAAATCTTAGCCGGATTTTTTAAATAATAAAATAAACTAAAACTCAAAATTTAAGGTAGAATTTAATGTTGTATGATTTTTAAAGAAAAAAAAATAAGAAAAATAATAAAACTTACTATTTATAAGCTGCATTAAATTCTGACCTATTTTTTTGCTACTATTTTTGGTAAATGGTAATTATTATTATATATATATAGATAATAAATTAATTAGTTAAGATGTGGACATATTTTGGATGTTTTGAATAAATAAGCTACGTTGAATTCAAAATATGATTACTCTTAAGTGATTAGATTTTCGAGTTATCCAAAGATTATTGTTCTAAAATTATCTCTACACCATTAATTTTGAATTCAAATTGTAATTTTTCCGCGAATAATAAACTACACAATTATTATTTTCAAGCTTTCTATAAATAGAATGTTAAAGGTATTATTTATTTGGTCAAAGTTTCCAAAAAAGATTTATCCAACAACCTTTTTATATATAGATAGATGTTATGTTTTTACACTATTCTACAAACAGTGTTAACTTGTGTTCAAGTCTCTAGTTTTTGCATTAGACTGCCATAAAACCGACGAAGCAAAAATATGAACTTATGCGTATTTACTAACGAGGCTTACCCGATACAAACTCTAATTACAGCAAGATTGAAATATCGGTGGAAGCAAGAATGCAATCCAAATTCATACTGCAAGAAAAATAAATTGTTTCACTCATTTGTGGAACTATAAATACAAATAAAATTAAATTAATGAAAGTAAATACAAGCTAGAGAACAATGCTTCTTACCGTTATCCAAATGAAGTACGTTATCTCGAACGCGTTCTGCAATATCAATTACAAATCAAGAAATATAATTCAATGTTTGAAAAAGTAAATTCATTTTCAATGACAATAATAATAAAAGAGATGAATAGGGGAGTTAAAAAAATGAGACCAGAAAGAGCGTGAGGTGGATTAAATGGAGGACCAAAGTTGGCTTGCTAAACCAAAAATGGCGATCAGAGACTTGGACGAGTGGAATTCCTTGAATCACAGCATGCTTTTCTTGGATTTCAATTGCCATCTGAGTTATGATCGACTGTAGTTTTGTGCCTACTGCTAAGATTACCTTAACCAATCAACCAGTCAGCCTTTTTTTTTTTTTTTTTTTTTGTTTAAACACAAAATTAGTTAAAATGTCATTTGATTAATAAATAATAAACTAATTATCATATAAATGATGAAGAAAATCAAGCTTTACCACTAGAGGCAATATTGATAGGAAAAACATGATTTCGCCTCCTGCAAAGCCAATTGAAATTATTAAAACAGAAACACGTTGTATAAGAATAAATATTTCGGAGTATGGATATAATCTGATTATTTAACTATAGAAAAAAAAATGCACCTTTAACATTTACGAGAAGATAGATCAATGATGTCATCCAGAGATGGGGACTGAAAGCAACATCACCACAAAAGTTACATCGGAATTTATTTTAAGGAAAGTATCACGGGAGACAATAATAACAATAATAACAATAACAATAATAATAATGGAAAGAAAAAATAAATGATAACATACGGGATTCCCACAACTACTTTGAAATCGTCTTCCAACGATCTTTTGATATACTTTTGAAAGTCGAATTTCATTCCAGAAGACAAATGGACCTATAATATGGTATGGTAGATGCTTCTTAAGACAAATCATATTTGTATAGTTTATACAATCTCTAAAATGAAACTACTTAATTAAAAAAACTCACTGAGACAAATCCATGTCGTAGTGTAAGGTAGTCGGGCTTTTGAACCGAGTACAACATGTGTCGAAAAAAGCAAACCTAGAAAAAATAAACGTTCAGTTATAGAAAAAAACTCGAGAAGATGAAAACTGAAAATGATGCCTGCAAAATACTATCATGACATTGATGAAAAATAACAGATAACAAAAACCTTAGTTGTTATTCCTTACAACATAAAACAATATAGGATTTTGCATCCAAGCATTCGTGTGGCTTTTTACAAAAGATGTCTCGTGTGTTAGTCTGAATCTTGAAGGATCTGTTTACGACAGCCAAAACAAAAGTTATAATAAACATTGTTGGGAAATTATCGAATCAAATGACAACAATGAGTTTTCACAAAACGGACAAAGAAAATCTTGATTGTTCTTGGTATTTTTTTTTTTAACTAAATCATAATTCAGGCTATAAAAAAAAAAGGAATCGTAATCGTTTTTGGGGCCAAAATACCATTAGATACTTCATTTTCTTGTATAGCTTGTCTTTCCCAATACTTCCATCCTCGAATCTGCACGATGATAATAAAAAAAATAAAAAAATTAAAACACAATAGTACTCTGTTTTAATATAACAAAGGATTTAACTAAGTAAAGGCCAACTGAAAACACCACTCTTGAATTTTTTTATTTTTTATTTTTTACCTTAATTAAACTTGAATGTAATTGTTATAACTAGCTAGTCTTATGAGAGTTGGAAGGTATTAAGCCTATCCTAATGGCCTCATCATAACTCAGTACCTTTAACCTCCCTAACATCATTGTTACAGCACCATAAAAGACGTGAAATACAGCCAAGAAGAATATGAAAATGTGGAGCTGGTGAAGTCCGTGAGTCGATATAAGAGGCACATACCCCTGTTCAAATCAAATCAAATCAAATCATCTTACTTCCATATATATATATATATATGTTGATTCAAATAAAATTAAATGAACCAATTAGAAATCACTTTGGTTTCCAAACAACACTACTTACTTTCGACAATCAAGTAAAAGATGAACATTGTTTGCACAAAAGACACTAATTTTCAAAACAAAACATTTTTAATTACTTTTGGGCAATCTTTAGGCATGCTATCAGCTGCCAAAATTCGGCGTTGGTGCCATGTCATGAGTCTTCGGTGATGATGATCAAGGTCCACATCATCATCATGATATTCTTTAAATTCGCATGGCAACATTGTGTCTGAGAGTTTATCCGGTATGCATATTTGAGTGATGTAGTTTTGTCCGAATGTTAGAAGCAACGAAATGAATCCAAGAATCATAAGTTCTGCGAAAATGGATTAGCCACACAAAAATGAAAAAAAAAATCAAATGTTTAGCATTATGATAGCAACAACTTAGGAAACTTTACAACTCTACTCTTACCAGCTTTAATTTTTTCCAGAGCATCCACCAATGCCAGCTTCTTTCTCTTAACGAAAGTCTACAATAATTTATTAAACAAATGTTGTAACAATATATAAAGGTAATGAACATTACACATTACAATCATGGAAATTAAGTAAAAATGATCAATAATGTACAATTTTCTTTGTGTTAGTATGATTTTGTGAATATTATATTTTTGGTAGAGATAGATTTTGATATCTTAGAGATTTAGTTTATATTTTTAGGGCTCTTCTTTGTATCTATTTATTCAGCCTTTGTAAACTCTACTGAACAAGTTGAATGAATCAATTTCATACATTGTTCTTTTGACATGGTATCAGAGACAGGTTATTTTTCTTTCAGATTTCAAGTCTCGATCAACTGAGACTCATTTTTCTCTCTTTCGGATTTCAAGTCTCGATCAACTGAGACTCATTTTTTTTTTCTCTTTCGACTGCCTTCTCTCATTTTCTATCTCTTTCGGCTGCTCAAGGCTTGTTCCAAACGAAAAAATAAAAAATAAAAACACTTTGAGTTGTGTGAGTTCATCTTGCGGATTACTTTTCTATGCGAAAGGGGTTTGGCCGATTTTTGTCGTGAGTGTTATTTTGTTTTTTGCGTTGTTGCNACCAACCGCTGTCGGTCTTGTCAACGCCGCCTTCGCTAATGGGGCTACACTTAATACATCTGGCTCCATACATGACGGGTCAACATCCTCATTGATGGACTCCGATAGGGCGGCTATCTCTGGGTTGACTGATGCCTAATGGGAGTCCATTGTACACTTCGTCACTTCTGCCCGCAACAATGTTCCTCTATCCGGTAAGCGTAGTCCTTATGAGTGGATGTATGATAGCGGTGCTTCACATCATATGACAGGCTACTTGAAATTTTTTTCTGATATACGGGATATTCCGTCTCGGTCTGTGCAGCTACCTAATGGCACGCTCACCACTGCGTGTAAAGCTGGAACTGTTCATCTCGGTTCTCGTATTATTTTATATGATGTTTTGTTCGTTGACAGTCTTCAGTGTAGCTTGATATCTTTATCTCGGTTGTTGGAACAATCTGGTTGTGTTGCTACCTTCACTAGTAAATACTGTGCTATTCAGGACCTCACTTCGAGGACGGTAATTGGAGCAGGTGAACAGCTGGGGGGACTCTATTTTTTCCAAGGGGCGGTCACTGCCAATGCTTCTCGGGTGTCTTTGGTTGTGCAGCACTTGTGGCACCAGCGGATGGGTCATCCATCTTCTACTGTCCTCGGTCAATTGCCTTTTGTCGAGTCTCGCTTTTTGGTCTCGAATAAAGCTTGTGATATTTGCTATCAGGCGAAGCAATCTCGTGCTAGCTTTCCTCTTAGTCGTAGTGTTAGCAGCTCCATATTCAGTCTGATTCATTGTGATGTGTGGGGGCCTTATAGAGTTCCTGCCTTTAGTGGTGCTCGATATTTCCTGACTATTGTTGATGACTATTCTCGTGGTACTTGGATTTTCTTATTGGATGATAAATCGGCTGTCTCCTCTACTTTGATGAATTTTTTTGCTCTCATTAAACGACAGTTTAGCGCATTGGTTAAAACAATTCGCAGTGATAATGGGACTGAATTCACATGCATGCGAAATTATTTCCTCCAACAAGGGATTGTTCACGAAACTTTTTGTGTTGGAACACCTCAACAAAATGGGCGTGCTGAGCGCAAGCATCAACATATTTTTAATGTGGCCCGTGCTCTTCGCTTTCAGGCCCATTTACCGATTGAATTCTGGGGTCATTGTGTTCTTGCTGCTGGCTACCTGATTAATAGAACACCTACACCTATTTTGTCTGGCAAGACCCCTTATGAGATTTTGTATGGAAAAACTCCTGACTACGCACATTTGAGGGAATTTGGTTCTCTGTGCTACGTACATAATCAGAACATGGATGGTGACAAATTTGCAAGTCGGAGTCGAAGGTGTGTCTTTGTGGGTTATCCAGCTAGTCAAAAGGGTTGGTGTGCTTATGACTTAGATAGTCATAGTTTTCTGGTCTCACGTGATGTGGAATTTTGTGAGTCTGAGTTTCCTTATTTGACCTCCCCTAATACTACATCTTCACCGGTTGCTTCATGGCCTGTGGTATCTGACGATGATGATGATGTGGTAGCTCCGGTCAACACGGGTACTGCTGCTAATAGGGCTCCTACGTCTTCTGATGATAGGGGGGTGTTGCTTCCCCAGAGGAGGTGCTCGATCGTGGTCATCGGATCAAACGTCCCTCCTCACGTGTTGCTCATTTCGTCTCTCACACTGTTTGTTCGTCCCCCCACTCTAGCTCTCCATCATATCCTCGAACTCTGGTACGCCTTATCCTCTCGATCATTATGTTTCTTGTGCTTCCTTTTCTTCAGCACACAAGTCCTTTTTTGCCACCGTCACCTCTGTTGTTGAGCCTCGGACATTTTCCGAGGCTGTTAAAGACAGTCGTTGGCGATCTGCCATGCAACTAGAGATTCGCGCATTAGAAACCAATCACACTTGGGACGTTGTTTCTCTTCCTACTGGGAAACATGCGATTGGCTGTAAGTGGATTTATAAAATTAAGTATAACTCTGATGGATCTGTTGAGCGCTACAAGGCGCGTTTAGTTGTCTTGGGTAATCGACAAGTTGAGGGCACTGATTATCAGGAGACATTCACACCTGTCGCCAAGATGGTTACAGTGCGAACTTTCCTTGCTGTCGCGGTAGCTCGCCAGTGGGAGGTCCATCAGATGGACGTGCACAATGCCTTTTTACATGGCGATCTGACTGAGGAAGTCTACATGAGACTTCCTCCGGGCTTTCATTTACCTGAGCCCGATAAAGTATGTCGGCTACGCAGGTCCCTGTATGGCTTAAAGCAAGCCCCTCGGTGTTGGTTTGCGAAACTTGCTACTGCGCTCGGCAGTATGGTTTTCAGCAGTCCTATTCTGATTACTCCTTGTTCGTCCTTCATCGTGACTCGTTGAGCTTGCATGTTCTGGTATATGTCGATGATCTTATCATTTTTGTGAGCGACCCAACCTCCATTGCTGCATTTAAGGAGTATCTGGGTCAATGTTTTCATATGAAGAATTTGGGTGTGCTGAAGTATTTTCTAGGCATTGAGGTTCCTAGGAATTCTTCGGGCATTTTCTTGTGCCAACGTAAGTACACTCTTGATATTGTGACCGATACCGGTCTACTTGGTGGGAAACCGGCGGACTTTCCCATGGAACAGAATCACCAGCTTCCCTTAGCAGACAGTCCTCTATTTTCTGACCCCGAGCGTTATCGGCGTCTCATTGGGAGATTGATCTATTTGACAGTGACTCGTCCAGATTTATCCTATGCTGTTCATACTCTGTCTCAGTTCATGCAGCAACCTCGTCAGACCCATTGGGATGCTGCTCTTCGGGTGGTTCGTTATTTGAAGGGTACTCCGGGTCAGGGTATTCTTCTTCGTTCTGATTGTGACTTGCAAATTAATGGTTGGTGTGACTCTAACTGGGCGACTTATCCCACTACATGTCGGTCTCTCTCGGGCTGGTTTGTACAACTTGGTCATTCACCTCTTTCTTGGCGCACCAAGAAACAACACACCGTGGCCCGGTCTTCTGCCGAGGCCGAGTATCGAGCCATGGCGACCCTTACTTGTGAGTTGAAGTGGTTGAAGGGTTTACTTCACAGCCTTGGCGTCGTTCATTCTCAGCCCATGCGGATTCATTGTGACAGTCAAGCAGCTCTGCACATTACTGCTAATCTTGTATTTCATGAGCGCACGAAGCATATTGAAGTCGATTGTCATTTTCTTCGTGATGCTCTTGTTCAAGGTCTCATTTCTGCCACTCATGTTTCCACTCATTCACAATTGGCAGATATCTTCACCAAGGCCTTAGGAAACCGCGAGTTTGATTTTTTTCTTGGCAAGTTGGGCATCAGAAATCTGCATGCTCCAACTTGAGGGGGGTGTTAGTATGATTTTGTGAATATTATATTTTTGGTAAAGATAGATTTTGATATCTTAGAGATTTAGTTATATTTTTAGGGCTCTTCTTTGTATCTATTTATTCAGCCTTTGTAAACTCTACTGAACAAGTTGAATGAATCAATTTCATACATTGTTCTTTTGACACTTTGAGATCTTAGTTGATAAAAACCATGAAAGGAATTACTACTTTTCAATTATATACCAACATTAAGTTTTANAGCATATATCAATTTTAGTATCTAGGAATTACTGACATAATCAATATTCCAATAAAATTATGAAAAAAAAGATAGAATCTAATTCATAATCAGTCATGAAATACACATAAACAATACAAAGATACCCAAAAAGAAATTTTATTTAGCAGATCTCATCGAAATGCAGAACTTGGGCACATTTTCAAAAAATTAATGTACCGTAACTATTATAAACATTAACGAAAAACTAAACGAAAAATTAAAATGAATGTTTATTTGAGAAATACCTCTCCAACTTTATGAAGAGTTTTCTCTAATATGATTGATATTACAATGATGACCCCACATACTAACGACACAGCCCATGTAGGGGTATGGTCGAGCTCCCTGCCCGTTTCTCCTTCTCCACCGGCCATAATTTTCTGTCGATAATCAAATATAATAAAAGAGTAATATGTAAAAAAACAAAATCAAATGGAAGTTACTGCCATTTTTTTCTTGAGTTGAAAAATAAGAAAATTTGATGTACAAACATCAATCATAGTATGACAGACTCCTAGAATAGCATATGAAAAATATTCAAAAGTAAGAGAAGAGAAAGCTCGGTTCAAAATAGTTGCTCTTTTCTATAACAGAATTGGACCGGGTTCAGTGTATGTTTGGCCATTAAATTGGGAGTTACACTGAAGGGACAAATTTGTTGACAAAGAGTGTTGTTAGGGATTTTGTTGGTCAGTGAGGGAAATGCAACGACATCATATTTATCCAAGAAATATTTGAAGATGACCCTATCTTTAGGCACCAACTTCTTCCATTCATTTTTAACTATAAAGGCTGAATTTATTTGACATATCCTAGTTATGTTGGCCTCATAATTTTGTATGTTTTTTATTCACATAAACATTAATTTTTTATTTTGTTTATTCTCAAAACATCTAGTACAAATCAAATTTTTAGCTTTATGTATCATCAAGAATAAGTAAACTGAAAAATAACTCTCTCCAAAAATTGTTAGCAAAAATATGGATGTAGTAAGCCATGTTTTAGTTTTGATTTAGTTTTTTACTCATATTAGGGGTTGTTGGGTTCGCTATACTTTACGAATTAAAATCGCAACGGAAATTACACAATATAATTATCATTTATCAAATAAATACTTAATCTGTAAGTACATATAGCGAATAAAATGATCAGCTTCTTTTAAAATCACGTAAAATACGAATTTTGATTTGGATCGGCTTATCCAGAAGTAGATCCAATAAGAAGCATCGGCTTATCCTTCTTTATCGTGGATTCAGCCATTTTTAACATGTTCACCAATTCAGGAAGTGAAATCCATATTGTGCATATTAAAATTAACAACAAAAATATCAAATGATAGAGGCAGAGATTGCATCAAAAGATCCACATAGAGTTCGTTATCCATAACGACTCCAAAGGATGTTAGCCTTTCAATAAGAGCTATCATCTTCAGCCCATGGTATTGGACTGAAGAGTCCTCAGTCATACGACTCCTGAAAAGCTCTTTAGATATCTGATATCTAATTTGCCTTGTTCTTTTACCATACAACTCTTGTAGGTGATTAAGAATATCATTTGCATTATCGAATAATTCATTTTGTCTCTGCAGCTCATTTGACATAGATGCTAACATGTAGCAACGAGCCTGGAGATTGTCATCAGTATGACGTAGATTTTCTCCATACTCATCTGATGTCTTATCCTCTGGTGGAGGAGGAGGGGCTTTGTCAAGTACATAATCCCTCTTTTCAGACTGAAGAACAATTTTTAGATTTCTCAGTCAATCAACAAAATTTTGCCCAGTAAATTTGTTTTGCTCAAGGATACTTGCGATTGGATTTTTAGCCATTTTAGTAGACTGATCTACAAAAAATAAATGAAGCAGAAAATAAGTAAACTATGGAATATATATTCATTTAATATTAGGTCTTTAATATTAAATGTCTCCCACTATTTTAATTAAACCCTATATTAATTATGAAAATCTTATTTTCATAGTGAGCTTGAAGCCCAATAAAATATTTTATATCCCAATTTTATGAGTACTCATGAAATATTTATATTAGTAGTCAACATTTTTACAATTGTATCACTATACAACCTTCAATTTTATTTTGCCTCACTTTTCTTATATATCCCAATTTTATGACCGTATATATTACTAAGTGTCAAATTTAACTGATCAAACATTCATGATAATGGCCCATCATAAGTGTTCCACGACTCGTGGCCAACACAAAGACAAGTTCATCTCACGAGTATCACTATACTTAGTAGAGATCACAGCTTTCAGCCAAAAAGCCACCCCACGTCTCATGGTCAGTGACTAAGCACCGTAGTGTTGTCATGTCATCTAGTTTTGATGGAAGGCATGGATTAATTGGTACAACCTATTTTATCCATTTTTTAATTTGATACAAAATTAATCGAATTAATTCCTTTTAGGGTTTTACGATCTCATCATTTGTTAGTTGTGTTTATTTAATGCATCATTCCTCACATGAAATGCAAACAAAAAAATAAACCACACATGCATCGTATGCAAAAAGCGATGGGATGATAACGGCCATGCCTATGCGACCCATTCGAGCCAAAATGGGTCTATGCCTACGTACGTGATAAATAGAACTACTTCTATTACATGTTATTTTATCCACCCGTACAAGCACAGACCTTCAAAGTTTACAATTTGTACAATTATCCACACAGGCGTGGGCCTTTTACATCGAACGGTCTTCAACCTGATCTAATTTACTCTCGATGCAATAATTTAAAATTATACAAATTATTGAACAAGAGACACGCAAGTCTCGATAAATTACAATCATTCAATCATATTGAATAGAAAACTCATGATCATCCCTAAATATAAACCATTCATCACATGAATTTAACCATATAAATTTACCAATTTAATATGTTGATATAATTTTAGGATTTAATAGATTTAACTATTCATAATAGTTAATCTAATTAATTTAGATTTAACTTTTAAATCTAAATTTAAATAATTAATCAATCAATTTTGTGTGTTGATTTAATTTTGAGATTTAATAGATTTAACTATTCATAATAGCTAATCTAATTAATTTAGATTTAACTTTTAAATCTAAATTTAAATAAAATATATATATATATATATATATAAGAAATAGAGAATCTCATTCTCCCATTATTTATTCAAAAAATTAAGCTTAATCAACATTTGATTAACTCTTAATTAATCCCAAACATTAAATCACATAAAAATAATATTATCATACACAAAATATTATAATTTAACAATTAAATATGTTTATCACATAAACACAAACAAATCAAAATCTGATTTTAAAGATGCAAACTGTGGCTCTGATACCACTGTTGGGTTCGCTATACTTTACGGATTAAAATCGCAGCGAAAATTATACAATATAATTATTATTTATCAAATAAATACTTAATCCGTAAGTACATATAGCGAATAAAATAATCTGCATCTTTTAAAATCACGTAAAATACAAATTTTGATTTGGAAAGAATTTCGAAAATTACCTTTAATTTTCTTCGTAAAGCGACGACGGAGTGGAAATCAATTCCCGGTTATGTGGCTATCACCGTATGTCTCGCCTTAAAAGGATCCGAGTGTCTCCCCTCTAATCAAGTCTACCTTTGGGTTCCAACATCAAGATAACCTTCTTCGCTAGTAGAATTTATCTTGTATTTTAAATTGATATTAGGAATTAAAATTGAGAGGAGATTTTTTTTTATTTATTTATTTAATGTGAAAAGCCGAGAGCTTCTTCACAATTTGGGAGAATTGTCAATCACTTTTTCTTNTACGACCTAAATTCCTATTAGTAGAATAGGACCACGATGTGCCGCTGTCACACTGAGTACCAACTTCGAGTCCTTATGGAGGAGGATTTCTAGAAGCAGATGGGTGTCCTGCGTTGGATTTCGAGTCGTATATCCATAGTATCGAAAGCAACGGGTCATCCGTAAACTAGGAGCTCCAGATATGGGAGTCGACTGTAGAGCACTATCAGTCGCTATTCACCTCAGATAGGGATTTGTTTATGACCCCTAATGCTGCCCCTTTCCCCACCATCCCACAGTCGGTCGACCTTGTTGGCCTTTCTTAGCTCCCGAGTATAGAGGGGGTTAGCGAGTCTATTTTTAGGATTGATCCCAACAGTGTTTCCGGCCCGGATGGCTTCTCTCTCTTCTTTCAGGCTATTGGGATCTTGTTGAGACTGATGTTGAGGAAGCTGTGGTGGAGTTCTTCTCTGGTCACCAGATGCCAGAGTCTTTCACAACTACCTCAATTGTCTAAATCCTTAAAAGACCTTAACCAGGCTCTTGGACCGATTATCGGCCTATCAGTCTCTGTAACGTGACCAACAAGCTTATCTCCAAAATTTTGAACAAGCGCCTTTCTCCTCTCCTTCCCTTTCTCATCTCTCCAAACCAGTGTGGTTTCGTTTAGGATCGAGTCATCAATGATAACATTCTCTTGGCCCGGGAGATGATCCACGACATCTCCCACGCGTATTGGTTACGAGCCCCAAATCTTGCGCTGAAACTAGACATGGCTAAGGCATACAATAGGGTTGAGTGGCCTTTCTCAAGGAGATGCTAACCCAGATGGAATTTTCAGAACAGTGGTTCAGCTTTGTGGAGGCGTGTGTTGAGCTCTGCATGTTCTCTTCGTCTCGAGGCCTCCGTTAGGGAGTTCCTCTCTCCTCCTCACTTTTCGTTCTGGTGGCGGACTACCTCTCTCGCTGCCTTGATGCTTTCATCCCTGATAACCCGAAGATGACCTACAGCACTAGTGGTTATGGTCCTTCCGTCTCACACCTATGTTATGCGGATGATATCATTATCCTAATCCGTGCAGATAATGATGGAATGGACGAGCTAATGCGTCTCTTAGAGCATTATAGTTCAGTCACTGGCTAGCTCGTCAATGTGCAGAAGAGCTCCTTCATCCTTTCCCTTCACATTTCGCGGGTGCAGTGGGTCCACGAGCGCACCAGCTTCCCTCGTGGCGATATCTCCATCACTTACCAAGGCACTCCTCTGTACAAGGGACATCTTAAGAATGTTTTCTTTGTAGATGTCAAGAATAGGATGATTGATCGGCTCTCCGAATGGTCTCATAGACATCTCTCTTTGGGGGTCGGCTTGCGCTGATCAAGAGCACCCTCAGCGCCATCTCGCTTCATCTCCTTATGATCCTCAACCCCTCTAGTACACTCTTTATGAGCTAAATCAGATCATGGCTCGCTATTTCTGGGGGCACGGGGAAGGCTCCCAGAGGAGGAGAAAGGTCCACTGGATGAAGTGGGACTCTATTTGCCGGCCTTTTTCTGAAGGTGGTCTCGGGATTCACTGCTTATCGGACGTAATCACC